CCCCCCCCAAGGAAGCAGGGCTTTAGGAACTTGTGTTTGGGTCTCTTCTATGCTCGGTTTGCTGCTGTGGGGTACACTCATGGGCATCCTAGTAGCCAGTGTCTCATGAACCACTAGAGCAAGAGAGCAGTGCTTTGGGCGAAGGGGACCTGAAGACTCTTCAGACCACAAGAAAGGTCTTTGCAGTGGGTAGTCCTTTGCTTTCTATCACTTGAAAACTGGGGTCTCCTACCTTGGTCCCATGATCAGAAGCATTTCTAGCCCTGAAAGCAAACCTTGCCCCCAGTTTTCCCAGTTCTGTAGACCATCATTACTTTGTTGGCTGGATTTCAGACCTGTGTAACTTCCATGCCAGTTGTGTGGCGTAGTCATGGTCTTCCTGTAATTAATCTGTTCTTCAGTTGACTTAGCTAGTGATTAAGGTTGTCACTCCTTCGATGTTGTGCCAAGGTCACAGCCACAGCCCTCTGGGAGTAGGCTGGATGTGCAGACTGGAGATGAGTTATAGGTCCTCTCAAGTCACCCAGATCTGTGAGGATGGAAAGTTGTGACCACGTGATGCCTATTTGGTAGTGGTCCGAAGGAAATCTCTTCTGTAGTTTAAAACCCATGTGTTAGGGCATATGCAAAGCTCATCAGCGTGACAGGCAACTTTGCTGCTGTTCTTAAATGACAGACACAGAGTTTGATGGCCACTACCTTTCTCTTCCCCTGCCTGTGGCTGAGTCAGGGTGGGCTCCTGTGAGAGGAGCCTCTGTTGTGCCTTCCCTGTGAACAGAAAGACTTTGGGGCTCTGAATCCAGTTCTTTTCTTCAGTGTTGACAATGCAGATTCTTTCTCCTGTTTTATTTCCCTCTTATTTTTGTATATGTCCCTCCCCCTAGAAGCACTGGTGGCCTGCCTGTAATAAAAGGGTTTATGCTGCATGTGGGGGCCACGCTTCTGTGATAAGGTCTCCTGTGGGTCTCATGGCAGGAAGGATGTCTAGCCCTGGTATCTGGTGACATAGCACTGAGGGTTCCTCCTTTAAGCCTCCTGGGATTACAGGCTCAAAGGATGTAAGCCACATTTCCCTTTTGTAAGGGACCTCCCATAAAACATGATGGTCTTATCATGCACTAAGCCATCATTACACATAGATGTAAGATCATCACATTGCAGTAATGCTGAGGACTTCTAACCAGCCTGCCAGCTGGGCTTGGAAGACATGGGCACAGCTATGAAATTCAGGACAGTCCTGTGGGCATGGGTCTGGGTGGTGACCTTTTGACAGGACAGAAATGTCAAGTTCTGCCAGTATGAAAAGATCACAATGTGTGGCCCATACAAATATGTCAGCAAAGCCCCCAGTGGAGCATCCATTATTTTGGGGAAATGGTGTGACTCCAGCTGCAACAGATTTCCTTCTGTTGTCAGACAGTGTCTGACACCAGGGGGTTGTCTTAGTCTTGGCAACAGCAGTCTTCATAGGGCAGACATGGCCAGAGACAGCTGTGCTAGGATGGAAGGAATAGAGGAGCAGATGTCACTTGAAAGTTTCTACGCTGTGGCTGGAGAGCTCAGGTTCACTACTGACCCCACTCATCCACGCTTGCTCCTTGTGTTGACCCTGGAAATGAGGCAGCAAGGGAGTCCGGGGGCTCAAGACCTAGGTTTCCATCATGCTCAAGAGCAGTGTCTTGGGGTATCGCCAGGGTACTCTCATTGCCTCATTCCCTGGGTTGAGCAATGTGGGTTGGCAGGTCTTAGCCCTTCAATAGTGGAGGTGGGCACTCTGACCCAGTGATGTAGATGTGGCCTCTGTGTCACTAAAGCCTGGAAAAGTGAGAATTGGCCATGCATCTTGGGTGTAATCTGGGTCAGGTGAGTAGTGGGTGAGCTGCTAGGGAAACTTAGTGCCAGGGTGATGCTTTCTCATGCAGCAGAGGGTGAGAATGGGGGTATCCATGGCACAAGTGCTTGCCTGACCCCTGGTCACTCTGCATAGACAGAGAGGATATAAGGTTCATGCTCTGAAGCTGGCACAGCTGCAGCCCCTGCCTGGCAAGACCCTTGCACCTGCCCTTTCCCCCTACCCACTTCACACCCCTGCCTTGATCCTGCTTTGTGAGTCTTCCTCACCTCGCCCTTCTTCCTTCCCTGCTTCCCAAGCTAGTGGTTTTCTGTTCTCTCATATCTGATTGGAGCTGTCTATAACCCTAGTCTGTCCCTGGGACATAACTCTCAGTGCCAAGGGTGCCCTCAGAGCAACCTCTGGTAACAGAAAGGGGCTAGTTTTTATCAGGACAGAACCAGGGATCAATTAATGAGAGATCACACCAGGTGTGTGACTTCACAAGGCCACTTGAACAGGCGGCAGCCTTCCCAGAGCGAAGCAAAGAGCCTTTTCCCCCTGTTCAGATATATCCTGGTCCTGCTGTCCAGAGCTACCACAGGTGTGGCTACAACTGGGCTTAAAATCACTCCTGCTTTCTCCTGGTGAGGCAGCTGCATTGGAGGGTTGTTGAGGCACTGAAGGACTAGCTGGCTTGTGACTTGCTTTCAGGTAAAGAGTGGGAGGGAAGTGATCCCTTGAAACACAGGAGGGGGGAAGAAAATAACCCAAACCTTGAGCTATTTCCAGCTGTAATTGACTTACTTTCATCTGTCAAAATAGAATTAAGCTCCTGTAATAAGTCATTTAAATCAACAGGCTACTAATCCTCTGATTGCTCTGCTTCCCTTTGCCAGAAACTTCCCACGGCGGGAGGGATTTGCAAGGGCCCGGCTGGGCTTCCTGAAGGGAGGGGAGCAGGGAGGAGACCCCATGGGTCTGTCTGGTGATGGATTTTCTCCCCACTGTGACTGCTGGTACTTCACCGGGCTCTGCAGGACTGCAGCCAGGAGCCCGCGTGATGGGGCACTGGCAAAACAGTCATCCTGTCAAGCTAGACTGGAGGCCTGTACCGCAGACAAAAGCTTTGACAGGGACTGATTGATAGTGTGCTCCCCCACAAGCCTCCCAACATAAGACAGATGCAGTGTGGGCAGGAGGAGTAGCCTGGGTCTGCAGAGTGCAGCCACGCGAGAGGAGGAGCTGGCAATCCGGAGGAAGTAAGGGGATGTAGGAGCAGCAAGGGGAGAAGCAAGGGAGCCCCTGGCACTGGCAAGGGCAGGCCAGGCTCTATCGCTTGGAGCAATGGAGAACACGTTGGTGCCTTTCTGTTCTTGACCCCTGCTTCCTCTCTGCAGAGCTTGGTTCAATAGAGAGGGACAGTGCAGACTCTATGGGATTCCCCTGGGAAGGAGAAGGACAGGGTGGGAAGGGAGGTCCCTCACCCAGGCTTCTAACTGCATGCTGTGGCTATCAGTGCCAATCAGACCAGCTATCTGGTGCAGTGCCTAGTGACACCATCCAAATCCAGGAAGGCCATACCAAGGGGTGCTGCCTGGTGCTGCCATGAGTGCTCAAGGTGGCCATGGCTCTGGGGCTTTGGAGCCTTGAAAAATGATTTTGGTACATGTTGAAGGGACAAAGCTTGTAGATCCCTGTTGGCCTCCCCTGCAGCGAGGCACTGGGATGCCACTGACAGTTGCACCCTCAGGTGGGTTCAGGTGGCACAGTGGGTCAGACCTCCACTGGGGGTGTCTTTTTCATTAAAGTGCCGTGTGCCCAGTGATGGAAGAGGAACAGAAGGGCAGTCCCTGGCACTTTCATTGATGAGGCATGGCTGGGATGAGTATGGCAGAGATGAGACAAGCCATGTCGAGCCAGCAGCTGCTCCTGAACAGAGTTAATTCAATTACAGCTCCAATGTCAGCTCTAGTTCACCAAGAAGATCAACTCCATAGCCAGACAGGCTTCAGACCAACCCAGGGGCATAAGGGGAGCAGCAGCTAACAGCTGCACTGCTGGCACACAGCAGCAGCCAGTTTGCTAGAGCAGCTGCTGCTACTTTTGTGCATCTCACCAAGTCGGTGCCCAAGGCAAGTGCCCCAGTCACCCTGCTTCTTTCCACTACTGGACTGACCTGCCCTCCCGCACTGGCGCTTCTACCTCTGAGTCCAGCATTGGGAGAACAAGGATGCTCACTGTCAGCTCATTAATGACTATTACAGTTAAAACACCATGAGGTTCTCAGACACTCGGGTCTAGGAAAGGACCCTGTGAAGGTCTCCTACAAGCTGGCTTTGAAACAAGCCAGAGAGCATCCAGGGATGGATGAGTTCCTGGTCTGTCCACAATCATTGCATCCAAATGCAGGACAGAGACTAGACTGGAGATGGGCAGTAGGGCTGTGCGAAACAGCACTGTTACGTTTTGCCTTGAGTTTCAATGGTTCCACAGGACAGTGTTTCGTATCGAATTTCATTTAGAGTCGAAACAGCTGTTCTGTTTCATTCTGTTGAAACAGAAAGGCTGTTTCAACGCTATTTTGACATTTTGCTGGAGATGGGGTGTCAGCCCAGCTGGTCTGCTTTCTGGTTCCCCGCGCTAGATTGTGCTAAGGCTGGAGGCAGCCCAGCTGAGATGCTTTCCCACACTAGATCACACCCTGGGCAGGAGGCAGCCCAGCATTATCTAGCATGGGGGACCAGGTAGCAGCCCAGCTGGGCTGTCTCCAGCCCCCGGTGCGATCTAGCATGGGGGACAGGAAAGCAGCCCAGCTGGGCTGCCTCACTGCCCCCTACTGGATCTTGCACTGGGGCTGGGAAGTCGCCCAGCTGGACTGACTTCCCATCCCCAGCCTATGGGCGGAATGTTTCGACTTTTGAAACATTTCTATTAATGACTATTACAGTTAAAACACCATGAGGTTCTCAGACACTCGGGTCTAGGAAAGGACCCTGTGAAGGTCTCCTACAAGCTGGCTTTGAAACAAGCCAGAGAGCATCCAGGGATGGATGAG